TTTTTGTCCGCCACAGCACTCAAGGACTAAATCACACCTTCCTTGTGCTGACCCCTGTACCAGCACAAAAGCTCAATCCTGAGCTTCCCACTGTGTGGCTGAGGAGGAGGAATGACTGGCACAGGAGCTGCTGGAGGTGGCAGCCCCTTATAGCATCCCTTCACAAACACCAGCTGTATCATAACCCTTGACTGTCAGTTAGGGAACTGTTCTAGTCCCTTGCTATTTTCTCTGCTCATAGCTGTACTGATCTGCTTAGTTAGACTCATTCAGCACGACATCATTTCACATGTCTCTGCATTTTCATACTTTGGTGCCTTCTGTATCCTACTGTGCATTTGAACAGCTGGGAGTAGAGGGGGTTGGTCATGTTCCGGGTCTGGCCAGGTAGCAGTAGCAGCAGCCAACTACTGAGGTCCACCTAACCAGTCCCCATCTCTTCAAACAAAAGGAGATACGTAAGTATTACAACTTTGACAAACCACTCTGGACACATGCACTAAAGCACACATGTAGAGAAACATGAAAACACCACACTGTCTTCTTCCCCTCTTCATGGGGAATAGTTTGGATTAAAGAAAACATTCTTAATGAGAGAAGAATGATCAGGAAGGCAAGAAGGAAGATGAGAGAGACGCTCTCCTCCCTCACAGCACAGGGGATTGGGAAGGCAACGAGCTGTCCCGGCTCTGCTCCCACGACCTCATTCCCTGCAGATATGCCAGATTCCCAAGGAAGAGATACTGCCAGGGGAAAGCTGGACAGTATCAAAAGTGACTGCAGAGCTCTGGGAGCAGTAGTCAAGGGAATGACGGCCCAGGTAGTGTTCTCCTCAACCCTGCTGGTGAGGACAAGCAAATAACTGGCTGCGGAACTGGTGTTGGCGACAGTGTTTTGGGTTCTGTGACCGTGGGACCCTGTCTGCAGATCAACGTCTGCTTGAGAGAGATGAGATACACCTCACCAAGCAGGGCAAAGCTGTTTTCGCTAATAGGATGGTTGACCTCATAAGGAAGGCTTTAAACTAAGAATGATGAGGGAAGGAGAGAGTAAACAGCAGTCCTGTGGGGGAGTGATGGACAGGTTCACTAAGCAAAGGGCATGGGGTGATGTGACAGGAAGAGATGACAAAATCAACAAAATGAGGCTTAAGCAAGGACACCTCCAGTACTGCATGTAAGCAAGGAAGTACCTGCAAGGCACCATTATGGAGAAAACCCCTAAACCCTCTCCAGGAATTCAACATACTGGGGTGCCTCTCTGAAGTGCCTGTATGCTAATGCATGCAGTCTGAGGGGAATAAACATGATGAGTTAGAGATCTGTGTGCTGTTGCAGGGCTATGATCTTGTTGGGATCACAGAAACACAGTGGGATGGCTCCCATGACTGGAGTGTTGCAACAGAGGGATGCAGGTTCTTTAGGAAGGACAGGATGGGTAGGCGAGGAGGGGAAGCTGCCCTTTATGGGAGAGAGCAGCTGGAGTGCATAGAGCTCTGCCTGGGCATGGATGAGGAGCCAACTGAGAGCTTATGGGTTAGGATTAGAGAGAGGACTGGTAAGGTGACATTATAATGGCTGTCTGCTATAGGCCACCTGACCAGGAAGAGCAATCAAATCAGGCCCTCTACAGGCAGATAAGAGTAGCCTCACATTTGCAGGCTCTGGTCCTCATGGGGGACTTCAACCACCCCAATATCTGCTGGAGGGACAACACAGCAGGACAATAAGCAATCCAGGAGGTTCCTGGAAAGCATGAATGACAACTTCCTCCTCCAAGTGACAGAAGAGCCAATGAGGAGGGATGCTCTGCTAGACATCATATGCACCAACAAGGAGGGGCTCATTAGGGATGTGAAGATCAAAGTCAGCCTTGGCTGAACAGACCATGAGGTGGTGGAATTCAGGATCCTGAGGGCAGGAAGGAGGGTGAAAAGCAAGGTCATGACACTGGACTTCAGGAGAGCAGACTTTGGCCTCTTCAAACACCTGCTCGGAAGAGTCCCATGTGATAAGGCCCTGGAGGGAAGGGAGGCCCAAGAAAGCTGGATAATATTCAAGGATCATCTCCTCCAAGCTCAAGACTGGTCCATCTCAATGATTTCCAAAAATGCCAGGAGGCCTGTGTGGATGAACAAATAGCTCCTAGCCAAACTCAAACACAGAAAGGAACCATACAGAAGATGGAGGCAAGGATGGGTAACCTGGGAGGAATATGGAGACATCTTCTGAGCATCCACGGACAAAGTTAGGAAAGCCAAAGCCCAAACAAAAAGGAACATACAGAGGGTGGAATCAAGGATGGGAGGAATACAGAAACATTGTCCGAGCATCCAGGGATGAAGTTAAGAAAGCTAAAGCCCAAATGGAATTCAGTCAGGCCAGGGATGTCGAGGACAACAAGAAGGACTTCTTTAAGCATGCAGGTGACAAAAGGAAGACCAGAGAAAATGTGGGCCTATTGCTTAACAAGATGGGGCACCTGGTTACACAGGACATGGAAAAGGCAGAAGTACTGAATGCCTTCTTTGCCTCCGTCTTTACTAGCAAGGCCAGCCTTCAGGACTCCCAGCTCCCAGAGACCAGGGGAAATCTGGAGCAAGGAAGATGTACTCTTGGTGGAAGAGGATCAGGTCAGGGAATACTTAAGCAAACTGGACATACATAAGTCCACGGGCCCTGACGGGATGCCCTCATGAGTGCTGAGGGAGCTGGCTGATGTCATTGTGAAGCCACTCTTGATAATCTCGTCACTGCGACTGGCAGAAGTGCCCAAAGACTGGAGGAAAAAAACGGTCACTCCTATCTTCAAGAAGGGCAAGAAAGTGGACCCAGGGAACTACAGGCTGATCAGCCTCACCTCCATCCCTGGGAAGGTGATGGAGCAGCTAATCCTGGAAACCATTTCCAGGCACATGACAGACAACAAAATCATCAGTAGTAGTCAGAATGGCTTCAACAAGGGGAAGTCATGTTTGACCAACTTGATAAACTTCTACAATGAAAAGACTGGCCTGGTAGACAAGGGGAGAGCAGTAGATATTGTCTACCTGGACTTCAGTAAGGTCTTTGAAACTGTCACCAATAAGATCCTCATAGACAAGGTGTTCATGCGTACACGGGCTGGATGAGCAGACAGCAGGGTGGACTGAAAACTGAACAGCCAGGCCCAGAGGGTGGTGATCAGCAGTGCAACATCTAGTTGGAGGCCAGTGACTAGCAGTCAATGGGATCAATACAGGGTCCAGTTCTATTCAAAATCTTCATTAATGATCTGGATGATGGGGCAGAGTTGTACCCTCAGCAAGTTTGCTGATGACACAAAACTGGGAGGAGTGGCTGATACACAGAGGGTTGTGCTGCCATCCAGAGGGACCTCAACAGGCTGCAGAAATGGGCTGACAGGAACCTCATGCAATTCAACAAAGGACAGTGCAATGTCCTGCACCTGAGAAGGAACAATCCCAGGCACCAGTACCTGCTGGGGGCCACCCACCTGGAAAGCAGCACCAGTACCTGCTGGGGGCACCCCCCTGCAGAAAAGGACCTAGGGGTCCTGATGGACACTAAGTTGACCATGAGCCAGCAATGTGTCTTTGTGGCAAAGAAGGAATATGGTATCCTGGGCTGCCTTAGACAAAGTATTGCCAGCAAGTCAGGGGAAGTGGTACTTCCACTCTACTCAGCACTGGTGAGGGGAGTATTGTGTCCAGTTCTGGGCTCCTCAGTACAAGACAGACGTGGACACACTGGAGAAAGTCCAACAAAGGACCACTAAGTTGATTAAGGGACTGGAGCATCCCACATGAGGAAAGACTGAGAGAGCTGGGATCGTTCAGCCTGGAGAAGAGAAAGCTCAGGGGGAATCTCATCAATGTATATCAATACCTGAAGGGAGGGTCCAAAGCTCTTTTCAGTGGTGCACAGTGACAGGACAAGAGGCGATGGGCACAAACTGAAACACAGGAAGTTTCCTCTGAACATCAGGAAGCACATTTTTACTGTGAGGGTGACAGAGCACCAGCACAGGTTGCATAGGGGGACTGTGGAGTCTCCATGCTTGGAGATATTCAAAAGCTGGCTGGACACAGTCCTGGACAACTGGCTCTAGGTGACCCTGCTCAAGCAGAGGACTTGGACCAGAGGACCTTAGCCATTCTGTGATTCTGTACAGGGGGTGAGCAGCAGCCACCAGCACAGTGAGATGGGGCCCTTGATTTTCACCACACTGCAGGAGGTTCAGGCCGCCTTTTTCGTTGGAGGAAAGCACATCATGCTGGAGCTCCAGCATGGCAGGCTTGGAGCGATCAGTGGGCATCTATAGAGAGCTCCCACGGCCCCTGACCACCTGAGCTGGGCTCTGACCCTACCTCAAGCCTCATTTCAGGGATGCATGTCCTGAGGCACCCTGGCCACGCACTGAGGGGAAAACCAGTAGCAAGTGAGGCAAGAGCTGCTCCAGCACCTGCTGTAGCCTTCGGCCAGGCTGGAGCAGCCCGGGCCCCAGCCCCAGGGCACCCTGTCGTGGGGGCAGAGCCCCCTCTACCCAGTGCCCCTGGGAGCCCTCACAAGCCCTGTGCCATGCTCCTGGCCGCCCTACGGGGCTGCCCTCACACCTCCCCAGCTGGTCTCTGCAAGCAGGCACCCGCACCCACAAAGCCCGCACGGCAGCGTCACCCCGCCCTCTGTGACGCCCCCTTGTGACGCCTCGGAGCGTGCTCGCCACCATTGTTGCGCAGGCACGGAGAGGTGCTCAGTGCTGACGCCACGGCTGTGGGAGCGGCAGCGTATCCCGGGTTGGGAGAGTCGGTGCGTCCCAGCCCCCGCCTTGGGGGCTCCAGGCGGCGGCCACCACTCGGGTAGAGCTTGCCTCCCTTGTGCCTCTCCTCCTCCTCATCCTCGCCCTCGCCCTCGTCCTTGTCCTTGCCTGGGGCCTGGAACAGTCTGCCGAGTGCCTCCTGCTGCTGGTCGCTCCCAGCAGGGCTGTGCCCACACCGCCGCATGCAGGGGGCTTTTCGGCAAGAGGTGGCAGCAGTCACCCTCCGGCAGCGCTTCTGGGCAGTCCTGCGCTGCCGCCAGCACCACCAGTGCCTATGAACTCCAGGAGAAGGACCTAGGCAGACTGCACCGTGCAGCTGCCCACGGCAACCTGGCCTGGCTGAGGCGGTGGCGCTGGTGGCTGAAAAGAGTCAGCATCAACAGGCGAGACAAGGAGAAGCGGTGAGGGGCTGTGGGCCACTGATGGACACCTTGGCTGCTCCTGGCTGGCGCTGCTGCAGGAGGTTCTGAGCCAAGCTCCACTAGTCCTCGGCAGCCCTCTCTCAAGCACAAGGAGTGTGTTACGACGCATAGCCTACTGATCCAGCAGGAGCATCAGCATGGCGCGACCAACTCCCCTGGTAGCTTTTGGGAGCCGTGCTTCCGCCCTTAAGGCTTTGTGCAGGATCACATTCAAGCTAATTGCTTGAAAAGTGAGATTTGCCCTGTCAGCTGGGAGAGTGAACTCTAGAACTTTTCATTGCTTGTAGCTGCCAGGTCGGCTCAAGTGCTGTTGGGAGTGCATGCCGCTGACCTGCCGCTTTGCTGTGGTCTCCTTGCAGGCTGGTTTTGCAGCTGCTCAGGCATCACCAGTTCTCTTCTGCCCTGTGGGTGACCAGTGCAGAACTGCAGCAGCAGCAAGCGGGAGGAGCAGAGTCTGGGCAGGGTCCCCAGGGCTGGGTGGCGACACAGTTTTGGTTCTTTTGTTGTCTGTTAAGCTCATATGCTTAATTTTTAGGACACCTCTGCATCTTGCTTGTGCAAACGGCCATGCAGATGTCGTTAGCTTTCTAGTACAAGAGAACTGCCAGCTGAACCTCGCGGACAATTTCAAGAGATCGCCACTGATGAAGGTATGTGGAACATGTAATGCTCTTGTAAGTGGGGCTTATCGACTGTGCATTAAATGAGAGGTGTCTGGCAGGATTCTTTACACAGACCTGTGTAGAAACATGCACGTGGTAATCAGCGTGGAATAGGTATAGATTAGCTAATCTTTGAAGATGCTCTTCTTTCCCAGCGTTCAGAAGCTGGGCGAGTTGTGACAGAGTGAAACGTAAAAGCTGGAAGTTTTTCCTTTTTTGTGTGTTGTTCCCAGGCAGTACAGTGCCAGCAAGAAAAATGTGTGGCTATTCTGCTAGAGCATGGTGCCGACCCGAATCTGGCAGATGCTGACGGCAACACTGCCCTTCACCTGGCTGTCCTATCTCCTAATACAGCTGTAGCGGGGCTGTTACTCGAGCATAATGCCGATATTGATGCCCAGAACCAGGTAACCTAGGCATTTGGGTAAAGCTGCTCTTTCAAAATGGCACTGAACTTGTCTGTTTTTCTAACTGGGATTATTTATCCCTTCAGGAGGGATATACCCCCCTTAATCTTGCTGTCTCCAAACACCACGAGGAGATGGTAGAGTTTCTTCAAAAAAAAGGGGCTGACGGACATGCTCAAGATCAGCGCGAAAGGTGAGGGGTTTGTCAAAACAGCACATAGGTCTCCTTAGTCGTCTGCAAGAGTGATTGAGAGGCGTGGGAATGAGCTGTGAAAAAGAAGAAGGATCACATGGAAGGAGTCCCCTTGTAAAAGCACGTCTGCACTTGGCTGCTCTCATACCTCAACTGCTCTCATACTTTCTGCACTGAGTACTGCAAGAAAGCGTTGTCTGTGGTGACCCCTCCCCACACAGACCCAGACCCAGACCCAGACCCAGCAGGAACCTTGCCATTAGCTCAGCAGTACCACTGCTCTACAGGAGAGGGTTTTTTAAGTGGAGGCATAGTTGGTGCATAAGCATTGTCAATGGAAGCGTTAGGAGAAAGAGAGGCAACATTGTCCAAGTGACAAGGGGCATAAAAGTGAAACACGAGGGGTTCCAACCGCATGTAAGGAGAAAACTCGGCGTGAGGACGATCAAGCAGTCGAACAGCTTGCCCCAGGAGTTTGTGCAGCTTCCATCTGTGGGGACTGTGAAGAGCAGAGTGGAAGGATCCCTGAGCAGCATGGTCTGACCTCGTAGCTGAGTCTGCTTTGGGGAGGCAGTTGGCCTGGAGACTTCCCGAGGTCCCTTCCAACCTGAGTTCTCCAACACTTGTGTGTATTTGGCTTTGCTTTCACTATGCTTGTAGGAAAGGGGGAGAGAATTGTTTTGGGAGCAAGTAGGGATTAAAATGATGACAATGTGGTGCCTGCAGAAGCAGATATATTTCATATCACCTTTTGGATGCTTTAGGACTGCTCTTATGGCTGCCACATTTGCAGGGGGTATGAATGCAGTCCAACTTCTTCTTTGGCATGGTGCTGATAGTCTTATAAAGATAACTCTGGCTTCATGGCTATGGATTATGCTCGCATGTCTAGACATGTTGGGTAAATGGCTTACATTGTCGTTAGAGGGGCTGAGTTGTCAGTGTCTGCGCTGATTTATGAACCTTTTTGGTAACGGCACCAAGGTTTAACGATATGTTGAGACCTTTGTTGAAGCTGGGCTCAGTGATGTCTTCTGATACATCTCCTTCTCATGTCAAGAGTGGATGTAGAAATTGAGGAGAACTTCCACCCACGATGCTCTCTTAGAATTCCCGCATGCGTTGCTAAGCTCTGTGCAACTCTACTGCCCAGGAACTACCTGCCTTTTATTTCAGTGGGGATCTGCCTGTGCACAGCTTTGCACCATGGGCATTGCTCCTTGAAGGTGGTTATGTATGCTTAAAAGCTAGGCTTAAGAAAATAGCCCTTTTTCCTCATGGTGGTAGCCATTTGAAAGCACTACATTATCCTGAGGAGCACGCCTTGTCTTGCCCATAAACATCTGCCCAAAACCCCTTGTCACTGAACACTGACTTAATTTCTTCCCCCCCTGCCCCATTCTGTTAGCCTGTATCAATGGGAAGCCGGAGAGAAGGGCACCTGGGTAAACTCTGGCTTCTAAACAGCTTTAGGAATAAGCATGTTTGATGGGCATTACTCTAGGAAAAAAAGATCTTCATTCCTTACTCCAGTGTTCTGGCACAGCATAAATGTTGCACTAATGCATTGTTTTTCATAGAAACCTTGGTCAGAGCGAGTGCTTTTTTGCTGTTGCTGTGGGGGGGGTTTAAGCTTCAGTTAAAAAGCAAACCTGAAAGGGGTCTCTCTCAGGAGCCCAAATTTACTCTCTCCCAATGTTGTTAGAATCATAGAATAGTTTGGGTTGGAAGGGACCTCTAAAGGTCATCCAGTCCAACCCCTCTGCCGTGGGCAGGGACATCTTCAACTAGATCAGGTTGCTCAGAGCCCCGTCCAACCTGACCTTGAATGTCTCCAGGGATGGGGCATCCATCACCTCTCTGGGCAACCTGTGCCAGTGTTTTACCACCCTCAGCGTAAAACATTTCTTCCTTATATCTAGTCTCAATCTACCCCCCTTTAGTTTAAAGCCATTCCCCCTTGTCCTGTCACAAAACGCCCTGCTAAAAAGTTTGCCGCCATCTTTTTTATAAGTCCCCTTTAAGTACTGATAGGCTGCAATAAGGTCTCCCTGAAGCTGCCTCTTCTCTAGGCTGAACAACCCCAACTCTCTCAGCCTTTCTTCATAGGAGAGGTGTTCCATCCCCCTGATCATTTTCGTGGCCCTCTTCTGGACCTGCTCCAACAGGTCCGTGTTTTGGAACCTCTTATGCCGAGGGCTCCAGAGCTGGACGCAGTACTCCAGGTGGGGTCTCACCAGAGCAGAGTAGAGGGGCAGAATCACCTCCCTCGACCTGCTGGCCACGCTTCTTTTGATGCAGCCCAGGATATGATTGGCCTTCTGAGCTGCGAGCGCACATTGCTGGCTCATGTCCAGCTTTTCATCCACCAGTACCCCCAAGTCCTTCTCGGCAGGGCTGCTCTCAATCCCTTCATCCCCCAGCCTGTATTGATACTGGGGGTTGCCCCAACCCAGGTGCAGGACCTTGCACTTGGCCTTGTTAAACCTCATGAGGTTCACATGGGCCCACTTCTTGAGC